CGACGTCGCCCCGTGTGGGGAAGGAAAAGGCGACATCGCCGAGGCGATGCGACGTCGGCCAATAAAAAATATATATATATAATATATATATATATACATATATCACTCGGTATACCGCTCGGTATACCGCTCGGTATACCGTACCGTACCGTACCGAGAGATCGTCGAAACTCCGGTACGGTACGAAATTTCAAACCTTGGTCTAGAGAACACTAGACTTATAAAGAACCAGATACCTCCATATTTTCAATCTTCACAAGCATAACGTTCTAGTTTAGGAAGACTAAACAGATGGCATTAAGTTTGACAGAACCAAGAGATGTAAGTTCGAAAATACACATTCAGCAAGCAATAACATATTGTAAATTTAACAATTTTATGAGAGTAACCAAATCAAGGGATTCAGGTAGTTGATAGCCAACTATACATGCATAAATCATACTACATGACAGAAACAATAATTCGGTACAACTGGAAAACACTGTCTATTATTCACGTGCATTGAAGTTGTGAGCATATCTGCAATTAGATACTCAAGCATGCAGAAGAAGTTTGATGATTATAATGGAAAATAAGCACCACATGTATAAAAAAATTGCACTATCTGCAAATCAAATGCCAAGAAACATCATTTTATAAGATGCTGACCGATCCTAGTTCATGAAGATAGCCATCAAAAACCATCTTAAGGAGAAACATTACTATGTGGTTAAACCCTAAAAAAAAAAACATCACTCTCTTTCTTAGTGCAAAAGAAAAGAAAAAACAACATTAGGACAGCAGGTAACTATCATCAACTAATTTGGACAGTCCAAGGCAATTACATCAAATACATGCATGTAGTGATCATCCAGCCACAGATGTGGAAAAAGAAAGTACCGATCTCTCGTAGGCATGCACATGGCCTGCAAACACAATATCAACTTTATAATGCACGAACCAACTCTCAAAGACATCGCGCATGGCCTCACCCTCCATATAATGTGCTTCATTACTATTGTACAATGGGACGTGCATAAGAACAATCAGCCATGGTGTTTTTTCTCTGTTGACTCTCTTCAGCTCTTCTCGCAGCCAAAACCATTGAGGAGTATATTTAACTGATTAAAGGTCACATATAAAGGACCAAAACTCCATAAGAATTCACTTTCAAGAAATAACTAAACAAAATTAAGAGACATTAGAAAGGTGAAGCTCTTAACTATAAAATGATCTGGCATTGAGATAATAATCTAAGTGATTCAGATACAACATTTTTAGAAAAGACATTACACAGTAATATGAAACTCATTAACTGCATGGTCTGTTAAATGAAAATGCAACAAAAGATCAGGAGCACTTCTCTAGACAGTACCAAGGAATAATTTATCACTACTAATAGGCAAACTTGAATACAAAAATGAGTGAGAAATAAAGATATAAAAGACTTGTTGAGATATCAAAACAAGTAGAAAGCCTGTGTAAAGAACTTCCTGTAATAATATTATGCAACAAAAAATTTATTGCCATCATAAATTGTGCAAGTGAATATGAATGGTTAATGCATCCACAGAGGCAAATAACCCTAAAGTTATTATTGATAACATGAACATGACTTCTCATGCCTGGCAATGGGTTAATTATTTCTGATCTACCATTAATTTTATCTACAAAATTTAAAAACTGCAAGTTCTTGCCCTGACAATAAACGATGCATGTAAAGAGAAACAAGTTAGACATACCAAATGGAGAATAACTTGAAAGCACGATAATATGAGCAGATGCACGCCTAACAGCATACCAAAGGGGAGAACTGCTTTTGGAGGACACATAAGGTGTCACATATCTGTGCAGATAAGGTTTGAAAGTAGAAATTTCTCCCTGGTTACATGAAGAAAAAAAAAACCAGTGTGAAAGTCAAAAGTCTTTAAGTAATTAATCCCTTCTAAAACATTTCAATTTATAACAATATTTTTATATTTACTGAAAAAGCCAAAAAAAATTGATCTTGGAAACTTTCACTACATAATAATAATAGAGCAACTCTTGCATCAGTTTGTCATGATATCTTTAACAAAATGCTCCAACATACCAAGAACCTGGTGGAAGATCTTGATAATAATACACAAACACAAGCACAGGAGAGATCTTAGTTGATTGGAAGTGTCTAAGAATATAATAAGTTACCAAATCAGGTCTGTACTCTATTTCGTGATTTCCAGCAGTCCAAATCCATGGTTGATATGCAGCGCTCTTTTCTACAAGGCGACCCCATGAATCCCAACGAACACCATCATTATATTCATATCTATCAGCATAAGAGAGATCTCCAACAAATAAGACAGTCTGACCACCAGTTTCCATATAATGCTCTAGGGTGGAAAGTGAATTAAATGTTTGCCCCAAATCACCTGGTGGTAAAGAATAATACATAAATAATCACTCCAGAATATTAAGCTGTATATATCTATATAACTCCACAAGTAATGGAATCATAGTTTAATGTGAAAGGTAAAAATGCCTTTGTCAATTATTTGAATTATCTAATAATTTTGGCAGTTCAGAGGAGTCGAAGAACATTAAGGTATGCAAGTAATGCCAATTGTATAAAGTAAACCAAGGTGCCTCATGGACATTTGTAGTAAATACTAAATAGTAAAAACATCAGCAAAGAATCCTAATTTTAAATGTATTCATTAACAGACCTCCTAATAGAATAATTGTACCATGAAAAGGTCTAATTAGAATGTTGCTCACTTTAAGACAATTCATCTTGAATACATGTCCAACAAGACTAGATTCTTTCACACCTGAAGGTACAAACTGAACCCTTATGAAGATAGATAGGATAACATAGTGAAAAAATAACCTACCTATAACGCCAAATACGTATGGAACATCTGGATCAATCTCAGGAGGAGTCTGGAACCAGAATTCTCGAGCAGAGGCACCTGTTCCAATTTTGTAGTGATATTTTGTGTTGTACTACAAATGAAAATCCACAGCAGTGTCAGTTTCCATACAGAACCAAAATTCATCTATTTTTGGTTCTATAGTACTATCATTTCAAAAAACTCATCAGAAATATACTATGATATTGAATCTAACATATCTAAGTGCAGCATGTCCTAAAACATGACATAATTTTGGTCTTAAAATTATCCAAGAAAATTGATTTCCAATTTAGGCCTCAGAAAAGATATCCTTGTTGACATTAGGGCCAGTTGATTTCCATAGGTTAAAGAACATAGTCATAATGAAATTTAAAGAGAACCATAATAGCTGATATCCTCAATTTGTGCATACCATTCTTTGAATATATGCTGTAATAAAATGTAATGAAAAATCATTTAAAAAGTTAGTATTCCCAGTTCTAAGCAATCATGTACCTCTTACTTCTACATATAAATCTAAAACCAGCACTTAGAATGTTGACTATATGTCATAAATTATATGTACGTCTTTGTGAATTTCATAATCTCAGTCACTAAATATTTTATCATATTTCAACATGATATATCAGTACCTTCAGTCCATCCACAAGGCAGTGATGAATAAATCCAGATTTATAATTGTAAAATGTATAGTTTGTTGTCGTCCCTTGGGCTATATGTTCATATTTATGCTCCTCTGTCCCATATAAAACTTCACTAGTCCCAGTTTCAGACTCTGTGACCCAAGAGATTATCACAGCTTTTCCATCATAGTCTCCTTGAGTAATATGGACCTGAACACAATTCAACTCAGACAAAATAAGAAATAGTTTATGAAACTCAAGATTTTGGCAATTCAGCAAATCAAGCTTGCATTTTAGTTAAACGTATTTGCAAATTGCATATTCAACATATCAACTGCATGCAACCTGATGCTTGAACTATCATATACATTATATCTGTTAGTCCTTGACATATTTACAAAGCTCAATGGCAACAATAGATCCATGTAACCGATCTCAAATATCTGGAACATTATGGCTTCTTGTTGTTATGGTCCTCAATGATGAAGATCTTGTAAAGGGAATTAAACGAAAGACCAAGTTGGATTAGGTGCATGTTAGGCAAACACTACTAACATCTGTGCGTTTCATACATCACCACCAAGAGAGGATAAAGGCATAATTTCAATTTAAACATAATTTTGCAATTATTCAATTGAACTAAGACAATAATTTCATCAGAGAACCTAGAATTAGACAAAGCTTCATTACAGACAATGGACGCCCATAATCCTTAGGTTTGAGAAACAACCTAGGGCCTCCACATGCATCCCCATGTGTCTCCCTTGAAGCAGATAACAACAGGCTTCCGTAACCATATTTTGCACTGCTATGCCTACTCTCCTTATCTCAACTTTGATACTTACTAGGAATCTGATTCTGGCAAATTTTACTAGAATATTTTTGTTACACCTGGATAAACATGAGATCAAAAAGTTGCAAATAGTCTTGAATCCTATGCTTCTACCCTTGAAAGTGTCTTATACAAGGATCATCTTTAAAGCACAAAACTCTGAATGTCAAAAACAATGGCTGAAGCAATGTATATAGGCCAAGTAAGACATGTCGACAGGTAAATGATTAAGAATCAGTTAACTCAGTAACTAATTAACTAATCCATTTTTGATAGTCCACCACAGGAGAAAGATAAACTTACAAATGCTATAAGTGGTAACTCGTCATAAAAAGTTTTGCCACGCAGCAATATTTTAAAAAGGTATGGGGAAAAAGAAAGAATAGCATCAAATAGCACATGAACACGGATAACACCAAACCGTCAGCCATGCAAGTTTATTCATGACTATATCTTAATCTTTGTCTAAAGATGCAAAAGCATCTAAGGCATAGGAATTGAAGGTCCAGGTAAGACATCCAAATCCGGGGGCTTGTGTTTCTTTATCAAAATCAAGCAAGAAGGATATAATATGAATGAGTGAAGGCATACCTTAGGTTTTCCTCCAAATAAAGCTATAATAAAGCAATGGCTATAGCAAGCAGTGTTATAGAAAAAGCACGATAACCAATCGATTAAAATCAACAAAAATCAGGTTCGGCCTTCTATCAGGTATCTTCTAAGTTGAATTATTAGGGACCACACAGACTAAACAGTGATTTTTCATTTAAAGAATTTTAAAATATATATGGATTTGGATTTCAACTTGATGTACTACATTAAATAATTATGAAGAAAATAAACTTAAAGAAAAAAAATTCAAACCATAATTCTGACAAGGTGGCTAAACAGTGTCATGTTATGCTTTCTGGAGAAGCCTAGCATAGCATTTTGATACTCAAAAGAATAACACTATTTGCCATAATGAAGATAAAACAAAAGGAAGGGGTCGGAAGACCTTACAACAAAAAGTCAGTCACGGTATTAAAAGATTAAGCTAGACAGAAGTTACAAGTTGAGACATAAAATGTGCACAAGACAACTTACGGAACACAGGTGACTAAATTGATTAGGTGTTGACTAATATTAAGAAATTTATTTTATGTGATCTATCCAACACTAAGTGCTTCCCCGAAACATAATCGGCGTACCTGCTGTGGAGTATTATAACCTCCTGGAACTACAAACGCTTCACTATCTAGAGGGATATCAGTAGAAGGCCATTCAGACCGCCTAAAAGAACTTGTACGGCCGGAAAGGACATCATCCACAAAGCATATAAGAATAAGATATATGAAGAGTAGCCAGGTCCAAAGACCCATATTCTTCAATAACTTGGCTCGGACTTCAGCCTGAAAACATGAGAATCCGTATTAGCCGTCTTTACTGAGAACAAGCAGCTTTTGCATCAAGAATTACAAGTACTGACGTTCCTAGTAATTACGACTGCAACAAATCAAACCATCATCTCCACATACAAAGAACATGATCCTTGCTAGGGTTCCCAAAAACAAGAACTCCCCGACAAGCCACGAACCCTGCTGATCTGGTTCAGGAATGGTGACGAGTTCGATCCCGCGCCCATAAACTCCCCCAGATCACACCCAAAAACGCAAAACCTAATCATATTTCTCCGGAAACAAAAACCTAGTACCATCTTGCACCGGGTCACATTCGAGAACAAGAACAGGAAGATCCAAAGAGAACCAATCCTTAAAAGATCAAAGAGGAGCCAGAAATACTTACGCGCACAGATCCGAGGCAAGAATAGGAAGGAGGAGAGAGAGGATCAGAGCACCAAACGGGCGACAACTGCGGCCGAGATCGCCGCCATCCACCGGCTTGGGTAACGGCGAGAGCGGGATGGGATCAAGAATCCGGGGGGCGGAGTGAACGAGGAGCTTCTTCCCCGGTTCTCAATTATTTGGGTTGGGGGTTTGGGGGCGGAATATTCTGGAGAAATTAGATTCCAGGGTAGGATAGTCACCCGTTTTTCCATATATACCCCCGCATTCTTGATGATATTCCATGCGTGGCTGTCTTGTTTCTTCGAACGAGCAGACGCGAGGGCCATGACAGTCTTGGGGCATTTTGGTAATGCAAGTGGCGCGACACTGATGGAAGCCGTTGGCTCTTGCTGTTGCTGTTTCCTTTGATCTGGGTTCGATCCGGTCACTCTCCGGTGAGGATAACTCCGGCAGTGCACGACATGCGATGAATTCCATTTTCAGGATTTCTTGCGTCCAAAAAATTATTTCTGTTGTGCGAAATAACTTCATGTAGGTTGGATGATATATTCTAAGTAGAATATTCCTCTTGAATAGAGGATAAAGGAATGTATAATTGCAAATTCGGGAGGGCAGTCGATGCAACAGTTCGATAGAATTCTCCGTGCACAGTTTTTAAGCTGACCGACGGTAGTCACACTGCGGTGATCAGATGGTTTCCACCAAACTTTCGTGTCACGCAACACCGAACAACCTCGGAGACCGTTACGCCGCAACAGACATCCTGCCACGGCATCGAGCTGATTAAGACATCCATCAAGCTGATTAAAATATTGTCATGATCTTTCACTAAAAGACAAGTATTATTTTCTTATTTTTCATACATCAAGACCTATCTCAAAATTGATTGAAGAACTCACCGGTGAAACAAACGGGTCGTGGTTGGTGAGTCAGCACGATTAGGTTCACGGGTCGATGTCGGAAGTTCTCTGTCGGTTGAACTAGATGATGAGGTAGGTCGGGCCCTCGCGATAGGGTGTTGGTCGGTGTTTCTTGGTCCGAGCACCGTTTATGTCGAGCTGCGTCTCTCCGTTCCCGAGATAGACGACAATAAGTCCTCATTCATTGGATGATGATTTTCTGGCTAAGGTGCTCGTGGCTCATAGGTGATCGCTTCTATATAAAAAAGGCTTTTGTCGAGTGATTCCCGACTTTGACCCATCCGACGAATAAGTCAGTTATGGGTGGTATTATGTTTTTTTTCCTCCTTCTTTTTGGAGGCTGAGATAAAGGTCTTTATACTGGCATGAGAGGATGGACCGTACGTGGATTGGCATGGTGGATACAGCACGATATTAGTACGAATTTCGGTTTGGTGTGCGGGGCGTTGTCATCTCGGGATTGTCGAGACCAGGCATGTCGAACAATGTCCTGGGGTGAGAGTTTTGACGTGGCGTGTGGTGCAAGTTTTGACGTGACGTGTGACATCAGCTGTGATGTGTCCGTGGGGTAAAACATGCCTTATCAGAACTCAGTCGCGAGGTGGACTCCAGAACTCAAACAAAACAAACTGCATTTGGAATTAGGGTTTAAATTTGGGGCAGAATTGGGCTTGGGTCAAGTCCGAGTCGAGTTAGAGATGGTTTGGTCCAATCTGGATCAAGACTCGTTTCGTTTCGATTCGACGGGGTTAGGTTTAGTTGTGAGGGCAATGTAGGTTCGGTTCAAGATTGGGCTCGAGTTGGATTTTGATAGACCCACTAATTAACCCAAGGTTACCCAACGGCTCGCTATCGGCGGAAAGAGGGCGCAACCAAACATGGTATGCTTTGCGGGTTAACTCTATAGGAAGATTGTCATAAATACGAATGTTCAAAGGGATGCATACGCAAAAAACTACACGTGGGAAATTATCACGCAGAGAGAGAGAGAGAGAGGCGTATTTGGGACTCGAATCGAACGCGAGGGAACCCGGAGAGTCGTCGCGCAACATCTCCTGATTCGGCCGCGAACGGCAGTGAAGAGATCCGCGGCAAGCCTCATCGTCGTCGTCTCCTCGATGAAGCTTGCTCTTCTTCTTTTCGTTGTTTTAGTCTCAAACTTCCTTCCTTCTTCCCTTGCCGCTCCTTCCAGGTATCCTTCTGGAAACCTTTCTTGTTTAATCCGCAAATCGAGAGCATAGAAAGATATTGTTGTTTACGTTTTCTATGATGGATGCCTCAGCTCTGGCGATGGGTACGCGATCACGGGTCGCGTGAAGGTAGAAGGTGAAATCAAATATGTTTTCTTCATAATTTTTTTGCCTCTTCCTCGTATTAATATTCATTAAATTTCTGCTCCAGCGTGACTAAATCTAGTGAGGTGATATGTACCATTAAAGCATGTTAATTTACGGCCATATGTAGATTGCGATGTGTTATGTGATGCTGGGATATAAAGATCAAATCTTGTGGAAGCAATCCAGTGTTTGGGTAATTATGTTGTTGCAGTTGGTTTACTGCATCTGATGTATTTGGTGATTCCGATCATATGTTTGAAGTGGATTTTTTAGATGCTCGATTTATATTAGTTCGGGATGCTGTTTGAAACACAGATAAAATCTGATAACTGGAGTTGAAGATGGTAGACATATGTAGAGAGAAAAGATGAGAAAATATGACCTATGTGGAATGGAAGTTTATCTTCTACTGAAATTTATGTATAACCTCCTTCCCCCTCTTCTTTTGAAAACCATTATACTCTTCCCTAACTAGAGACAGGCTTGATCTGCGTTGTGTGACTAGAATTACCCTATGGCTTAAAGAGGATGTAAAGTTAATCAACTAATCTCCTTCTTAGAAGTTTCCACCACGAGCTCTTTAGTAAGATATTCAATCTTTTAGGATTATAAGTAAAAGAAAATGATATGGCAGACAACCAAAACATAGGTGACCAAAGGGAAGGATTCCTATATTAGCCTAATCCCCAACCAAACATGATACTTTTAATATTAAATTGACATCAACTAAAGGAGATCTGCATCTAAGAAAACAAAAGAAATCTCTAGAACCTAGTTGAACTCATTAATGAGATTCTGAACTTTAAACTAAACTTGGTTTCAGAGTTTATGCTCTGACTGCATGACTACTCACCACTTCAGAAAGTAATTAAGCATGATATATCGAATGTCAAACCAAATTGATAGGATGCTAGTTCCAAATGATACTTCTTCACTATAGACTTAGCAGATCATTAGATGATTCTTCTGCAGTGCCATTTTATTGTTTAGTAGTATCAAATCATTTAAATTGATTTAGCCTTTTGCCTGTTGGAATGCATATCTAGTTAAGATCATTATGAAAGTTCAATTGTACATTGTATCATGGATTAAGGTGCTATGTATCATAGCATGAAGTGTCGCATCATATGGCTCAACACAATACAGTGATGCATGGTGCCTCCCATGGCCAAACATAAAACCAGGTATATGCAGAGAAACATGACCGACACTGGCTTAATTTATCATGACGGTGCCCAGTTGGACTGGGGCACTTAAAGCTTGTGATGTACAGCTATATAAGTGCTCTCTTCTGGTCTTGAAGAACTGTTGTGTCTTTCTATGGAACCTTCTCATATAAAGTTTTTTAGATAATGTTAAAAAGTCGAATAATCAATACTATGTTATTTTGAGTAATAGGCTAAATTTTATGTCCACAATGTATTATGCAGTCTTAAATAAAAATGTATAATTGAAAAGCTTTTTTCTTTTAATATGAAACATGGGCTTTAAGAAGATCTATTTTATAACGATTAATATGTATCATTTTGAAATGAAATGTTTGGTGACAGATACCACAAGACTTCAGCAGAAAAGTGCTTACTGAGAGTCTATAAAAGAAAGATAAAGCAACCTTAAGTAGTATGTATTTCAAACTTTAACGTTGGTAGATACCTTTTTTATTTTGTTTCTGCATTTGACATTTCACTGTTATGAAAACAACCTTGCTGAATATAAAGGTAAGACTGTGTATACTAAATTGACTCTCCACAGATCTTGTGTACTTGGTCTGCCCGTTTTATTTGACATTTCATTGCTGTGCATAGAGCTAATTAGTTCCCACATTCTTGATTCTTTTCATGGTTCTTGTATATTAAAAAAATCTTATGCTCAATTGTTTTCTTCTCCTATATTTAATATGAAACTAACCAGTAGATTGAATTGATAGGTATGACATCCAAGGGTTTTGGTGCTTCTTCAAAACTTTTAAATGCCAAAATCATACTCAACGGTGGTCAGAATGTCACATTTGTTAGAGCGGATGGTTATTTCACATTGTATCCTATCAAACTTTTTTCTTTTTGCTGGTTTTTCTTATTTCCTTTGACTAAAAAGTTTCTGTACATGTTGCTTCATTAATGTTTTGAGATAGACATTTTTGTAAGTGTAGTTCCTTTTGTAATGCTTTTTCTCCAGCAATATCCACAAGCTGCATATCTTACAGTAGATCTAATACTCAATTAATTTGAATTACTATTTAATTTTTTTATCCTTTTATTTTTTATGAAAATAAAATGTTAAAGTGCTTAGAAATTTTATGTTAGATTGACTCATCAGGCATATTAGGTAACAACTTTACAATATAATTGAATTTAGATATGGACAAATAATCACAACCGCACATGATACAGTTCTATGTATGTTAATTTATTTTTAATTTTTGAAGTCTAGATTCTTCACTCAATATTTATCTGACATCTTATGCTGTGATTTTTGTGGCTATTATGTTTGGTTGAAGATGACATGATATACAGGAAGGGAGCAACTTGAGCGAATGAAAGAAATTAGTAAATGGTATGAGGTAATAAATGTATCCACTTTGGTCAAAGAAGTAGTTTAAAATTTCTAATGGGATTTGAGAACTCATGTTCAAATGATTCATCTTGTTGACTTACCTCTGTATCTGGTTGACAGAGATCTTATGAGAAGATGACTAACATTGTAGCATAGAGGACTGCATTTCTTACTACTCTACATGTGTACAAAGTCCTATGATATTCATGAGAATAGTAAATACATCTAGTTTCGCTGAAAGATGTCTTTATGTACTATCAACACTTTGCATAATGCATCCCTTCAAGCACATGGTCTTTCCATGTGAAAGACATGTTGAGTACTTCTTGGAGCATGCTTGCTGAAAAGGTTATCATGAATGAGGGCAATGACACTAAAGTTGTTGTCAGGGTGAATACTTTTTTGCCTAATAGTTGATTAAAAATGGTAAGTCAATATCTGAATTTTTTCTTGAGCTTTAGCTTAAAATCGGGCATTTTTAGCCAATCTTGTTAAATATATGATGAAAATGTTGATTCCATTTTGGGAAAGATAAAGTGAGATTCGAGTGAGTTGTCTAGATTAACAGGCTGCATGGTCAAATAAATCATGTTCTGTTGGAGACTAGGAAATTGACTAGCTTGTATCTCGATTTGAAACAAAATTTTCAAAACTCCCTTAAGATGACAGATGAATTACAAAGCTTGCATAAAGAGAGAACACGCATTTGATCAGGATGAATAAAGAGGTCTCCTTCTGAAGTATGTGTAGAGGTTGGTTAGAGCACTTTATAATAACATAATATGATCAGATTATTAAATGTTCTAAGGTGCAATACGTCTGCCTTGTGGAGGACTCATACAGTGGGTAGATGTGGTAGTCTTTCAGCCTGTCATATAACTTAGCAAGTTATAAGCATGTTACTCATGTTATACAGGTGTTGAAGCCAAATAACGCCTTCGACAGCATTAACAATGGAAGGACCATTTGAATTTAGGTGTCAAATGGAGAGTATGTAAAAGGTAGATTCTATTGGTTAGCGCTTATCTGACGGACTTGGATTAGTTACTCGGTTGACATCATTAAGGTTTAAAACATGTGGAAGAATGCAATGAGCAGGATTGACTGTGGGCTCCAGATGGTGCTCAAGAATGCAAGATCTCCATGTTCCTCAATGTGAGAAGCTTTTATAGCCTTTCTCGTTGAATTTTTGGTTTTTAATATATGCAGTACCTTAGTTCCTTACAACTCTGACATATCTGAATTTGTTAGATGAGAAACTGGAAGAAGCAAACACCAGACAGTAAGTAGGATGTCAAGGATATCTAAGCAAGACATTGGGAATTTGCTTCAGATTATCTATGTTGTGGTTTTGGTTGGATAATTCATAGCAATTGCACAATCCTTTGCATGATACAAACCCAAGCACGAAAAAGCATGGTCATTTTGCTTTTGTTATAGTTACCATGTTAAAGTTCCTACCAGAGCCAAGAGATATGCCTATGTGCAACTCCTTACATTTCTATACTGTTATTTGGGTATCATTTTACTGAGTAACAACGTATCTTGCATCTTACTGCTTCCCATTTATGATTCTCCTATCAATATTTGAAGTGAGATGTGAAAATTTTCCGAAGATGGTGCTCATCTGTGCTTCTCCTTAATCTGTAAGTCACAATGTGCCTGCTGGGACTCATTTGATTGAAGTGGCTGCATTAGGTTATTTCTTTTCACCGGTAAGCTTTCTTCTCCTTCCCTACTCTTTTCATTTTTCCTAGGATCTGATGGAGATTTAGATCTTACTTTCTCTTGTTATGTCTCTAGGTTCGTGTTGATATTAGTGCCAGATTCCCTGGTAAGATCCAGGCAGCATTGACCGAAAATAGGAAGGCTTTGCATGAGCTGATTTTAGAGCCTTTAAGAGAAGAGCAGTATTATGAGGTGAGCTAAGGTTGTACTTACAAGCTATACGTGTCTCTCGTGCATTATTTTTGAACTCATACTAATGTGCCCATCATTGTTTTGCAGATAAGGGAACCTTTTTCGATAATGTCATTTTTGAAAAGTCCTATGGGCTTGATGATGGGTTTCATGCTGTTGGTTATTTTCGTCATGCCTAAACTGGTGGAGAATATGGGTAACATATTATTCATGCAATTTATCTCCTCCATGATGCTTCTAACTAAGAGTTCCAACTGTATTTTATTCTTTTTGTGAACAAATTGTGAGCCATTAAACTCTTAAAACCTTTTTTTTTCCCGCACACATGTTCTTGATCTTACCGAAGTATTTGATGTTATTTGGTCTTATCGTCCACCATCATGTTATTCCCTTTTACCAAATCATTCGATTACTTGATTTTAGCTAAATGTTGTCTAACTTCATTTTTGTCTTTGCATCAGATCCTGAAGAAATAAGGCGGGCACAAGAGGAAATGAGGACTAATTTTTTGCCTAGGAGCAGTTAGGATGAAGAATATAGCATCTGCCATAAGTGGATAACAACGATGATGAATCGGCAGCCAAGCGTCATGGAAGAATTTTTTGTGAGGCTTAGAACCAAATGCTTTTGTCAAACTCAGATTATGAATTGTCACTTGTGTAATTCTGTTGTGTCCTCGTACACACATGATGATGGTACCTTCATTAGTTATGTTCCTTGTGGGCTGCAATGATGAACTGCTGCTAATTTGATTCTCTCTCCACAGAGCTGTTGTCTTTCTCTTGATCATTCATGACAGTAGCATTTCTTCTGCTCTTTCCATTACGGTCCGATCATTCTATCCATTATCAGCTGACAAATTAGTTCATCAAGTTGACTGAAAGACAGAAAATGAAATTGCTTGTGATGGTCAATTGTTTAGTGCCCCCAAGAATTCTCCAGTTGTTGTCATGGTTGACTAACCAAAAAAATTGAATGGTGTTAATCTATTGAGATAGGAATCACTTGAGGCATGGCCCCATGGTACCCTGTTGTGGGCACTACTTTTGTATCTGGAAGAATACCATGGAAAAATGGTTTCTTATGCAAAATGTACTTTGTATGATTGATCCAGCAAGCCAAGCCACATTGGAATATGGTGGGGGTTACAACTTACCAGAGGTTGGCCTAACCTATATGCCTTCTTCGTTTTTTGCTTTTTATAGATCTCGTGTTCCATGTTGGACCTTACTGGATTTTGGTTGAACCAAGGCACAGCAACATAAGATGATGGAATTTTTGTTTTTCTAAATATGACTACTTTTTGAGTTCCCAATACAAATATTAAGAACATTATATCTTGACAAAGTTTGGTCACAAGATGAAAGCTTCCCTTGTGCTCTCTATCTCTCACATGTGGAGAAATGGAGGTATGGGAAGAAGAAGCCTCTAGGTTAAAGGCCACCTCAAGGTTGGTGTACAACATGTGCATGAACCTTGTCATGATGGTGAAAGGACTGCTAGCTCGATTGGGGTGGAAACTGAGCACCCAACCCAACCACATGAAGCTTGGCAGCCCCCATGATTGGCCATCCTCCACTGTCAAGCCAGCATGCATGGGAGGTGAGAGGTCACCAAACTCTCATTACTAGCTAAATGTAAAGTACAGTGTACAAAAAAAGGAGGAGGAAAGAACAGTATCACCCCAAACCTTGGCAATGTTCTTCATGGAGTCATCATCTCCCACATCAACAATTATTGTGCATATATTCAATTCAAGAGAATCTCACTAACACACACATGGTTGAATCCACATAAATTTATGTCAATTCTATTTTTATAAAATCAACTATATATATATAATTCAAAGCATAAAATCAACAATCATCATCCAGCTTAATTTCATTTTTGATGTGATGTCCTATAATTGACATGTAAACTGAAATCTAAAGACTGTACTGCAGAATCTTATATTTCAATCTCATTTTGCATCTATAGTACAGCTGGTTTGACGATAATAAAACAAAGAAGACCCAATCGTATTGTTGTTCTTATGATTGCGAAGAACTCAGAATCCTATAAATAATATGCCATTGGCATAATGAAGTAATAAAAGAAAAAAAGAGAGAGGCATTTTTATGCCACCTAGAAAAACAAAAAATAATAATAATAGGGTCGGATGGATGTCACACATCAAACGACAGAAACCTACGAGCTGTTATTAGATCACTCGATAGCAACATCTCATCTCTCTCCTCCGTTGCACTCACCAATCAATTATATATATACACTCTCTCTTCTTCTTCTTAAAAATTATATATTTGTACTTAAATTCTTAATTCTCTTATAATCGTAATATGGTTTTTAGACGATATTAATGTCATCTAAAGTTTCGACTAACAACCAAATGATAGTTAGGTGATGAGATTAACAATGAAAATGCATATGTAAAATTTTTAGATTCGAGAATAGTATATAAATACATTAAACTTTAATTTAGAATAATAATAATAATAGTAATAAATACATAAATAAAACAAAACTTCTTCTTGATATAAAGAATATTTCTCGATCAAAATGGTTAAATCTAACTCGACCGATCATAGGTATTTAAAATTCTATCATCTCAAATTACAAAAAGAAATCACATGAACTAACTATCATCTAATAATCCTCATACAATATATATTTGAGGCCTCACTAGAGGATGTCGGTGGTAGCAATACTTGTCTTATATTGCATCACATGCTTTTCTAAGGTGAAGAGGAGGAGACAAAAACCAATACACAACACAATTATTTGTGTCTTCTTTCTATTACTACTTTCTCGGGCCATCTCACATGATGAGTTCACATGAGCCAAAATAAATAAAAATCATTCGCATATTATTGTATAATCGAACATGCTTGCATACAAATTATAAGCATCATCACATGCTTTAACAGATAGACTCAATTATTTATATTTATAGTTTCGTCATTTCCATGCAAATATCACATAAGTGGAAAGAGGTTTTCTCTTTAAAGACACTTCACGCTTTAATTATTTGTTTCATCTCCACAAGAAAGTTGGTAGATATCGACTCCATTATCATCATCGCATTACCTTTTGAGTTGCTTCCTCCAAATGATTCACGCATGCATGACATCCAAGGCATGAAATTTCCCATTACATTAAATTTATTTTTCGTGTTTCTGAATTCAAGATAATGTCATATGCATTCACAAGAGGAAGGTAGATTGACTTGATCAAAAAGATGAGTAGAAAGAAGGAGACCGATTCGGTACACATCACATGTCATGCCCGTCTCTTTCTCCCTATGCAAATGGAGGAAGCACATAACAAATGATGAACATGTGGCACATGGTTAATTAAAATACCAATTAGAGTGCCTTAAGATAGTCATCTTTGTATCATGCAAATCTAATGTGTTCCCACTTCGCAAGCAAAAGATCACATCACTTAATTTAATAGAGGTTGTCATATTGATCGAACCACATGTGACGCATGATTTGGTCGCCTTGAATGAGTTCACAATGTTGACATTATCATCGTTCAAAGCATAGAAATGCGTTTCGACAGATAAACTATAAATATTATATTTGAGCATTAAATATTGTTTGCATTTTGAATTGACGAAAAATCACCAAAATTATTTGCATTAATCTAATAATTATTTATCCCTCCAGCGCGAATGCCGAACTCTCCAACGGCGCCAGCTGTGGTCGAGCGGGACCTGCCAAAAGCAGGGGAGAGAACTACTCTCACCCGGACTCGACGGCACCCACGTCTCGCCGTTGCTTCCGTCTACGTGGGCCCCGATCCTCTATCGGTGGCGTACTCGGTCGGGTATCTTTGTTGCTTCTGGACGGATATTCTATTTATCCTTCCCGCGAAGAGCGAGCACGCGATCGGACAGAGGCCGCCGCCGCAACGTCACCCCGATTCATCCGTTTCTCGTCTACATTTGGCTAGTTGGTTGGGTGTAAGGTTTTGATGCAGCTAAGTGAGGCCTTCTCCACCGTCCGTTTTGAATGCGACGGCTAATGTTAGATTTGGAACCGCAGATCAACGGATCGCTCGCCTTCGATCCCTCGCGTTTCGCGATCTTGATGACGGAGGTTTTGCAAATACACCCTTGCAAAGATTAGAAATCGTGGACTGAAAGCAAACCGTGAGACTGCGCAATTTATAAGGTTTCGAGGGTTGTCGGTGTTAAAATTTAATTAACGCGAGATAAACACGAAAGTTACCCAATTTTGTCAGCGTAACAAATTTTTCTCTTTTCTTAAGTGGACCCCACCGTGGGGCCCGCTCTGTATCGCATGAGAAGGAAGGTTGGTGGGCGGGCCAGGTCGTCGACGTTGGAAGAGTCATTCCTCGCGTCAATTGTTCCGCGAGAACATCCACGCTGACGTGCTCCGATTCGCTGCCCCATTCCGGCTATAGCCAAACCCTTCTCTCTCCTCGGCCTCGTGTATATATACGACGCCCCCATCCCCGGCCCTGTCGGAGTTGCACGCGAGCAGGGGGAGCTCTCTAACTCTTCGAATCGCTCGAGTTCGATCCGTCCGGTTCCGTGATTCTTGGGCGGTGGAGTGCCGCCAACGACCGGCTTATATCAGATCCGGCAATGGGGGCGACGATCCTCCCCGATCTTCTCACCCAGATCCTGATCCCGGCGACCGCCGTCGTTGGGATCGCGTTCGCCCTGGTGCAGTGGCTCCTGGTCTCGAAGGTGAAGCTATCGCCCGAGCGGGAGTCATCCGGGGCCGGAAACAACAAGAACGGTTACTCCGACTACTTGATCGAGGAGGAGGAAGGGCTTAACAATCACAACGTGGTCGTCAAGTGCGCTGAGATCCAGAGCGCCATTTCGGAAGGTGAGCGTTACGACTAGATCTCGTCCTTGTCGTTCTGTTTTTGCCGTAGATCCGCCGGCTTAGTGTTCGAGCTCGACGTGATTGTTTTGATTGTGTTGCGGAAGGAAGCTCCGTAACTAGATCGCAGTGCTTGTTTCTTCGCCCTGTAATGGATCTGGTTTTTTTCTTCTAGATATAGTTCCAAGTGTTTGAATTCACCGTGATTGTAATGGAGTTTATTGTGCAGAAGTATTCTCCGTCGTAGATCTGCAAATTCTATAAACAAGATTTAAGTTTGTCGTTTTCTTTGTGGTGGTTTAGGGTCACTATTACAATGATTCCTCTCGGATCTTGGTGGCTGAGCTCGCTCGTAGAGTTCTGATAAGCCCAAGGAATTCCTGGATTTGAATTTTGATTTGCTTGGGATGCACAAAATTTCTGTCCCCCCCTATTTTTGGTTGTTCCATTGGATTTTTAGATGATATTATTGTGTGATTAGATTTTTTTGGAATTGTGTTACTCTTTAAAAAGTCTGATATATGATGGTCCGCGACATGTGGTCCACTAGTCTTTTCCTTTTGTTCTGTTCTTGGTTTAGAACAAGTGATTAAGGAGGTAGTTTCTTTAGTAACCTTAAATCTTGCATGTCATGCTTACTACAATAGAACTTGACCGATTGATCTTGTTTAAATTAATGTTAAGTTATATGTCGCAAAATCGCTATCATGAACATAGAAACTCCTATAAAATGAAATTCCTAACCTTGGATGTGGTGTGGCGCTTTCCAGCCAAATTGATCTGCAATAGAAGTTTGACTCCATTACCCTTGAATTGGTCATTGAAAACCACAGAGGGTGGAATTCAATTGTTTTTCTTAAACTGATTTTGTAGTGGATAGTAAAATTTTCTCTCTTACAATCTGACATGAACTGATGTGCCAGATCCACTGTTATGTTTCCCGTGTACATTTGCATGTCTTGATATGAGTAGAAGTCTGCTTATGACATGGCATTCGTTCTGTTTACTTCTGTGCTAAATTGGCAATTACAAGACTACAATCTGTAATGCTACAAAACTGTCTAAATCAAATAACATTCTTTTAGCATAGATCCAAAACGTATCTTTAGCTTGGAAAATGTTTCCTTGTCTCATTGTCAACCAGGATGGTTTACTAAAGTTAAGAGACAATTATCTAACATGTGGTTTCTATTCATTTTTTGAACAGGAGCTACTTCTTTCCTTGTCACGGAATATCAATATGTTGGAGTCTTCATGGCTGTTTTTGCAATCCTGATCTTCCTCTTCCTTGGCTCCGTTGAGGGCTTCAGCACAAAGAGCCAACCCTGCACTTACAGCAAGGACAAAATTTGCAAGCCAGTCCTTGCCAATGCCATTTTTAGCACTTTGTCTTTCTTGCTCGGTGCTTTCACCTCTGTGGTTTCTGGTTTTCTTGGTATGAAGATTGCAACATATGCGAATGCAAGGACAACGCTGGAGGCAAGAAAGGGTGTTGGAAAGGCTTTCATCACTGCATTCCGGTCGGGTGCAGTGATGGGCTTTTTGCTTGCTGCTAATGGGCTTCTGGTGCTTTACATTTCGATAAACTTATTCAAGTTGTATTATGGCGATGACTGGGAAGGTCTTTTTGAGGCTATTACCGGTTATGGCCTTGGTGGGTCTTCCATGGCTCTCTTTGGGAGGGTTGGTGGTGGCATCTACACCAAAGCTGCAGATGTTGGGGCTGATCTTGTTGGAAAGGTTGAGAGGAACATTCCTGAGGATGACCCTAGGAATCCAGCTGTAAGAATCTGACCTAAAATTCTTTAATTAATGTTGTTTTCTTAGTTTTAACAGCATATTATTTTATCATACTGATATCGTGCTTCTTGGAGAAGTCAGAATGTCTTGTAGTTCAATCATGTTATTCCTTTAATGCATCCATGCTAGTACCAAGTCTGGTGCTCCTTGTTAAAGACATTACAACTGTTACCAATTGCTATATATCCTAGTAAAAATGTTCCTACTTCTTATTTACAGGTTATTGCTGACAATGTTGGTGATAATGTTGGGGATATTGCTGGAATGGGATCTGATCTCTTTGGCTCATATGCTGAGTCTTCCTGTGCTGCCCTTGTTGTTGCTTCAATATCTTCCTTTGGAATTAACCATGAATTGACTGCAATGTTCTATCCCCTGCTGATTAGTTCCATGGGTATTATCGTTTGTCTGTTTACTACTCTTTTTGCCACTGACTTCTTCGAGATAAAAGCTGTGAAGGAGATTGAACCTGCTTTAAAGAATCAGCTTATAATCTCCACTGTTCTGATGACTGTGGGAGTTGCAATTGTCAGTTGGATAGCGCTCCCATCCAGCTTTACCATCTTTAATTTTGGTGTCCAGAAAACTGTGAAGAACTGGTAAGCTACATTCCATTTGAGACTTCTTTTTTTTTTTTTTAATAAGTTACATGAATATTAGGTGTATCTTATTTCTCTGAGCTGGAATTCTAGGGAGCTATTCTTCTGTGTCGCAATTGGTTTGTGGGCTGGTCTGGTGATAGGGTTTGTCACGGAGTACTACACAAGCAATGCATACAGGTATTACATGATCTTCATCACAGTCTGTTCCCAGATAGTTTCTTCTTCATTTGTTAACCTATTTCCTTTAATCTTCTTTGTTTTTCAGCCCTGTGCAAGATGTTGCTGATTCATGTAGAACTGGAGCTGCTACCAATGTTATCTTCGGGCTTGCTTTGGGATACAAATCCGTCATCATTCCCATCTTTGCTATTGCTGTCAGCATCTTTGTTAGTTTTAGTTTTGCTGCAATGTATGGTATCGCAGTTGCTGCTCTTGGAATGTTGAGCACCATTGCTACTGGACTTGCAATCGATGCATATGGGCCTATCAGTGACAATGCTGGAGGTATTGCAGAGATGGCTGGGATGAGCCATAGAATTCGTGAGAGGACCGACGCTTTGGATGCTGCAGGCAACACCACTGCTGCAATCGGGAAGGTAAACAACTTATTGTTGCTTATTCGTTCTCTTCCTCCATGTTTCTATCATTCTTCTGCATGGTTGACTGGAATTTTCAATGTTTCTTTCATTCTTGATTTGATCTTGTTGATTGCCTGCTTGAGTACTCAAATAATGTAGTCTCTATGTCCCCCATCATCCATAGCAATAACCTTTGCTTCCAGTTTTCCTGCCTTCTACCCTATTGTATTTCTAGTTCACTTGATTCACATGCTTCTATCTTTCAGGGTTTCGCTATCGGTTCAGCTGCCTTGGTGTCCCTTGCACTTTTTGGTGCCTTTGTGAGTCGATCTGCAATTTCGACTGTGGATGTCCTCACACCCAAAGTTTTCATTGGGCTCCTCGTTGGTGCTATGCTTCCCTACTGGTTCTCAGCCATGACAATGAAGAGCGTTGGTAGTGCAGCCCTTAAGATGGTTGAAGAAGTCCGTAGGCAGTTCAACAGCATCCCTGGCCTCATGGAGGGAAGTGCTAAACCAGACTATGCAAACTGTGTCAAGATCTCAACTGATGCCTCCATCAGGGAGATGATTCCTCCTGGTGCTTTGGTCATGCTTACTCCGCTCATTGTCGGCACACTTTTTGGCGTTGAAACTCTGTCAGGAGTCCTTGCAGGCTCTCTTGTTTCTGGAGTCCAGGTTAGTAGAGAGATCTCTCGTATTATTATCATCTAGCTTCATCTGTTGCATGAACCTGAATTCATAGTATATGGTGGACAGATCGCCATCTCCGCATCAAATACTGGTGGTGCATGGGACAACGCCAAGAAATATATTGAGGTAAAATGTCTTCATATGTGTTCCTTAACTTGGGGAATTGGTTGAGAATAGTTCAAGCTTTAAGTGCTGCAATCTAAAGCTACCGTCTTCTTGATCAGGCTGGAGCTTCAGAGCATGCCAGGTCCCTCGGTCCAAAGGGATCAGATCCCCACAAGGCCGCCGTGATTGGTGACACCATCGGTGACCCACTCAAGGACACATCCGGACCATCTCTCAACATCCTCATCAAGCTCATGGCCGTCGAATCGCTTGTGTTTGCTCCATTCTTCGCCACTCATGGAGGCCTCCTCTTCAAGTACCTTTAGAATGCAAATAAGCAAAATGCGAGCCGTCTACTTTCACTAGAAACTACTCTTCTCTTCTTCATTCAGGTCGTTTTTGTTGTCTTCTTCATCCCATTCCATGTTATACTTCATTTCCAGTTCTAAATGTAGCTGTTACGTCCAAAACTCATTACCTATTGGAACAAAACAATCAAATTTTCCCTTGGCTATATTAATTGCAATAACTTCTCACTGTTGTTGGATCTTAAAGAAATGTGGCTGATTCTGATGAACGTCCGGGGTTGATAATGTTGTCAGTATGCAACAAGCTGCAATCTGCTGTGGTTCCATGGTTGTTGTTGGTGTGTTTGAAATATGTATTAAGAATTTAATGCACACTTTGATGTTTATTTTATTTTTTGTCAAATCGTATTTAGTTTTGACGTTGTAAATGCTTAAATGTTATTTTAGGATGACATTAACATTTCAATATTTATCTTAATGAATTTTTTTTATTATTTTAAAATATCTTATGTCACTGTGTTATTATTATATAAGGAAAATCTTAATCCTCATTTCCTCTTTTTTTTTCTCCCTGCAATTTTATTTATTTATTATTAAATATTATATTTTTATTTATTATATATTTGATCATATAATTTTTTAATAAGATTATATACATTTTAATTTATTTATTTAAATAAATAAAGTATTTATTTATTTACTTTTAAATAAATATTAAATAGATAAATTTATCACATAATATTCGATGAATATTTGAAATATAATTATATACCAAGCAACACTGTATCAATCAATATACATTCACTAAAGTGTTTTACAACTATACATTCACTAGAATTCTTTCTTAAAATACATTAAAAATATAAATATATTTCCAAACACATCAACTGCGCAACAGAAATGTAGATCTGTATTCATACAAATTACATTTGAATTATTATCTATCTATGGTGTTTCTGTGGGTAAGCAATTCCTCGAATTCAAACCACTTTTTGTAATGTGCTTTTCTCTATTTTCAAAAATAAAAACTCAAAATGTGTAAACAATACGAATTTTATAACCTTGTTCTTAATTTATGTTTTGAAAAACATAAATTAAAGTGAAACCAAATGTAAAAATGATTTCCAGGAAACCATTTTTACATTTTTGTTTTCATGTTTTGAAAAAGATCAAAACATGAAAACAAAAATGACGTTTATGATGGGGGCAGTGGATCGCATCCAACCCTAAAAACTGAAGAGACCGGAAAGGGAGGATGCTGAGGAGGAAGCCCAGCAGAGTCGAAGTGAAAGAGGAGGACAGAGAAGAACTCGAAGAAGCGCTTCGCCGACGCTCCTCCAATCCCCACCCTAACCCTAACCCTAACCCTAACCCTAATCCCCTCCTCAAGTACCTCGTCCCCTCCCCTCTCGACCCCGCCGCTAAAGCCGAGCGCATCGGCCTCAACCAGCCCTAGGCCGATGGAGATCGAGGTGAAGCTCCGTCTCCCCGACGCCGCCGCCCACCGTCGCCTCTCGGACGCCCTCGCCCCCCACCACCTCCGCACCCACCTCCAGGAGAACCTCTTCTTCGACGGCGCCGCCGGGGAGCTCTCCTCCCGCTTCGCCGTCTTACGCATCCGCTTCTACGACGCCGACGCCCGCTGCGTCGTCTCCCTCAAGGCCAAGGCCCGCCTGGTCGGCGGCGTCAGCCGCGTCGAGGAGGACGAGGAGGACATCGACCCGTCCCTCGGCCGTGCCTGCGCCGCCGAGCCGTGGCGGATAGCCGACGCGGCCGGGTCCTCTCGGATCATGAAAAGGGTGCTCGAGGAGTTCGGGTTGGACGGAAAGGTCGCATCTTTCGTGTGCTTGGGTGGCTTCCGGAACGTTAGGGCAGTCTATGGGTGGAACGAGGGATTGACGCTTGAGCTCGATGAGACACAATACGATTTCGGAACTAGTTTCGAGCTGGAATGCGAGACGACCGACCCGGAGAGAGCCAAGGAGTTGCTGGAGCGGTTCCTGAAGGAGAATGGAATACCCTACTCGTACTCGGAGGCATCTAAGTTCGCAGTTTTCCGTGCAGGAAAGCTTCTGCCGTGAGTGAGTTCTTCTTTCTTCTTTCCAAGTATTTGGATCTATCAACTCCATAAAACTGAGTTAGATTGTTTGTTCTGTTGAATTCAATCAAACAATTATATATGAATATGATTGTGCTCTGTTGTCGTCTTGATCTCATATGATCTGTCGATAAACAAACTTGTTTTCTAATGTTTGACATTTACTTGTGTAGATTACATCTTGAATTGATGATGATGATAGATTTGTTTGATAGATTTGATGAGTCATCCAATCTACGGATTACATCTTGAATTGCACCCATAAATTAGGTTCGTTTGCAGTAAAGTCATTTCTCTTTCCAATCAGCCTAACCACAAACCAAATCTACACAACACTATGCCTAAACAATCCTAGCCAAGAACCAAAGCAAGGGCTCATTTCTTCTTCTTCCTCAACCTCCTCCTCCTCCTCTTCGCTTCGTCCTTCACATATCAAGCATTTCTTTTTCTAAAATTAGAAGAAGCTTATTTAATAAGAAATTTAAACTCCATGACAAAAACACAACACATAGATTAAATAAAAAAAAAAACTACGAATCAAATAACTAGGCTTTGATCTAAACTTAACAAGATTTATGTCCCCGATATCCTCGCAAGTAATTCTAGTTCAGTAAGTGAAAGAACACCATGCATAAATAAACTCTTTGAGTTGATGCTGAAAAAGAGAAAGAAAAGTACTTAAGTACATAATATGATCAACTATTTCAATCATACTAAAGAAAAAGAAATACGTATGATTAATGAAAAGAGTAAAAAACATGGCCACATAAATGGACTAAAAAAATCAAGTAAAGAAACCTTCAATTTATATGTCACAAAAAAGAGTGAAACCACCCACTTTATTTACTCATCATGGTAGAAAGCAAATGTTCCTCAATCGTATAAACACTGGACTAAACCCCGCATCAACCAATTAGATCTTTCACTGGTTTAAACCTCGGGATCAGATTACAAGGCCTTGATTTGGGACCCCAAAACTCTACATTCAATAACATGATTACTCTACATTGAATAACAAGATCATCATTCCTGATCTTAGTAGTAGTGTCACAACTAATCCATGAAAGCTAAGACTATTTACAGAAAAAAGAATACAATGTACAAAGTTTCATGATCCCAACTGATGAGACAATTTCGTTAAGCTTGAATCTTACAGCCATCCATGATGCTTAAATCTAATCCCAAGTTAGCAATAGTTTACACTTTTAGACCCTTAGATCTTGTCCAATTCTAGATCAGCTCTAGTCTTTGTCCACTTCTAACTTGTAAGATAAGCCAGTGGGATGATGTACTTACTACCCATCACAGCCTAAGGAAGATTACCAGAATAAAACTGTATTTATCAATAATAAAAGCAACATAGAAAATGCACTTTCAAATAAACCTAGCTAGGCTCAGCAAATTATTGTCGACATGTTGACATAGGAAGAGCATAGATTTTAGAGATGTACAGATATACAATTAGTCTGATGTTAAAAGAACATATCCATACCACCAAATGAGATCCAAATAACACTGTCATTCAATGTCAAAAGCCTGATATCCAAAAAAAGAAAATAGAGAAATGAGCACAGTGAACAACAGAACAGTCAAAAGCGGAGGATAACGCAACACGAAAACAGGCAAAAGATATGACACGACGTGAAACCATCCCAACATTCCTTGATCCCCTCACATCAAATCTATAGTATTAAACATCAAAAGAAAAGCTGAAATCCTGGCGATCTATAAAACTCCACCGGAGAACTTCGCATATCGGAGAAAACAAAAAAATCATATTTTTGAGCCACTAGGAAGAGAACTCCAGATGAAGCACAGCCTAAGGCGTGAGGTACCCTTGTGGCAAAGACGCGAACTTAGCTTGTGTTGTCTAAGTCGCGCTTCGCCCTTCTGATTTGCGTCCATAAAGATCAGTCAACTTGCAACCTCTCGCAAGTCCCGAAGGACCTGCAAAAAGAGAAAGTTGATTAGTTCGAAGAACGAGCGACGGACAAGTCCCGACGTCTCGCGAAAAGGGGAAGCTTTACAAGCAATTCAACGAGCACCTTACGTGCACAAGAGAAAAGATGGAGAGGGGAAAAATAAGAACTTTAGAAGGATGAACGAACAGTTGTAAGTCCACAAACAGCTGCTCACCGGGTGTCGGACACGACAACAAGTTCCCGTCAAGGTAACGTATGAACTTGCGAAAGATTGTTCAACGCCCGACACTATACCGAAGCCTCATCCAGCCTTGTGCCACCCGGGGGGTTCCAAGGTGCTAAGATGGCTGAGATTTTATGTACAGCAGCGGGCTATAGAAATCAGCCCGTGGCACGCGAAAACGAAGCTGTTTTGGGGCTGTTTTGCTCAGTTCGATGAGCGATCACATTGTAGCGCTACAACTTGTTCGAACTTACATTTTTACAAGCAAAATGACTTAAAACCAAGCCAAAACATGCTGCAAAGCAGTTGTATATGTAAACGAGAGCGACGAACGATTCGTTGAACGAAATTATTGCGGATTTGCGACTGCTCGTGACAACAAGTCAGAAATCAACAGGGGACAAAACGAGACATTGAAACGGAAGAAGCGTCCTCGTCGCCAAAAGAGAGACCTTTGGGCTACCAAAACCGTCTCTACTTTTACCATGGAGCATACGGGAGCAGCTCCATTCCTCTCGCTTCTGCGCAACGCCTCCACTCTGCAACAAACTCATTCAAAACGCTAAGAACTCGAAAACGAGTGGAAACGAGCTTGCAAAAAAGGCATCAACCACGAAGATAAAGCGGAGAACGGGTGGTCCAAGGCGAAATCCGAAGGACGACAAGAACCGTGCCAGGTACTGAGGGGAGAGAGAGAGAGAGAGTGTGTGGAAAACGCTTTGACGCAATCCACTGCCATGGTGGTGTCGAAGCCGTTAGGGTTTCCTCCGAGACAAATAAGAATAATAATAAGGCGAGCCTATGACTAGGGTTCGACCCGATTCGAATCCAAAGCACGTCCGATTTGGGGAATCAACCCCGGTGGTTTTTTTGTAATTAAAAAAAAGAATCATATCAATAATTAGACAATATTGCGGCAATAAAAACTATAGTTGATTAATTGAAAATAATTATATACAAAAAATAAAATTTAATCGATGTCTTTAATTCGTCAAAAGAGCGTAGTGCGATACCAGCAAAGAGTTTTCTTTTTTTGTGCTCCCTTTTGCTGATGTAATTGGGCCCACTGCCTTTGTTTACGTTTTGCCATGTCATTTTTTTATTATTTTATTTTCTGAAAATTTATCTATTCTCGAGTGCGCAAACATTGTACGTATAATAAATCATTGAATGTGACAAGACAAGTTGAAGGTTGCGATATGGGCAATTTCAAAGTGGATCCAGCACCGATCCGATCCTATCCGATCTAGTTTGACTACCTTTGACCAGAAAAATAAATGAATTGGATATAATTCCACAAAATCATATACCAGCAAAATTATATTACGGAAAAACCATATAAAATTTTGTATGAATAAATATCTCTATTATGTTATAAATATATATTTCAAATTTTATTTATTTCATATGTAGAAGAAAAAATTTTATATTTTTTATTTATCATGACCACCACAGAATTTGTTCGGTTTGACAACCCATTTAAACCTATACAGTTATTATTATTATTATTATTATTATTATTATTATTATTATTATTATTATTATTATTATTATTATTATTATTTAATTTGATGAATTTTCTCAAAAAATTTCTTATTCATTTTTTTTTCATAAGTCACCATTGTTTTTATTTTTTCATATAGTGTCCTTTTTTTATACATCAATAATAATAAAATCATATGTCTCAAGTATTTAAGAACAACTGCATGTATCTTTTATCATTAAAATATATAAAAAGTATCGCCCTTTATTGTTTTATAATCATGTAAATTCCCTTATCCTTCTCCGCCCTTACCTTCGCCCTATCACCTTCTCTCCATCGCGTACGTGCAACATTACCCACCCTTCCTTACTCTGTCGCATTCGGCCTCTTACTTCGAATGTTACCCTCCTTCTTTACTATTGGTGATCTCAACATTGTGTTGCATCACAACCTCCACTCCTGATAGTTCATGAGCATTGAATCCGTCATTAACCTTGTCGAGTACACTGTCATGTTCCTTGTTAACACACTCAAGACCTTGTTACGAGTAAGTTTAAAGTCTTGCTAGCCCTTGCGTCAATCTCCGCTAAACAACTCCACATTATTATTAATGTCAAGGTCCCCTCAGTTTCTCTAGTAGTGTTGATAGCATGAGCCTCGGGTTTTGCCCTCGCTCATTCTGTTGGAGTAGGGGGTAGGGACAGTAGGACATTGTCGTCGGAATAGGGGTAGAAACGACAAAGGTGATAGAAGAAGGATAAGTTATGCCACACAAAAGGTAGAGGGGCCTTACAGTGGGACTAGTGGGCTAAGGTGAGGATTTAGGAAGGATAAGTGGCATTGCAAAGAAGTGGTGGGATGGGGACGATAGGTGAAGGCAATAAAGATGATTAGCGCGGAAGGATAAGGGTATTTATAAAATTATATAAAATATGAGATACTATTTAAAAAAAATGAGACACCTTATGGAATAAAATGAAAAAGGGAAGATTTTTCTAGAAAAAAGTCAATAGGATAATTGAATCATTAATTTATTAAATTTAAATCATATTTAATATTGGCCATTAAACTCTTATAGCAACACTCAAGATGTAGTCCAGTGATATCATATGATGTGCTAGTCTTAGATGTATAAACTAAAATAAATAATGATATAGATATGATTGTCTTGTGAGATCCAAGTTACTCTCCATCAATTTGCTTATGTGGATGAAGATTCAAGAAACACAAGCCTCTTTTCGTCCATTATGATAAGGAAACAATTATAAACATTCTTCTCATACTTTATGATAAGAAAGACTATCACAAGCTTCATTTTCAACGAAGAAGACAATCACAAACTTTTTTTTCATCATCTAAGAAAAAAAAGACATCTTAAACTCAATGCAATGGACTTCTTTTGAACTATTCAAACTCACATTTGGAAACCTCATATTACTAACTTGAGCGTCGGAGGGACTGGATCGGGAAACCCCTCCCGACCTTGGTCT